CCCGCCGTACCATTGGCTAGGACGAGTAGCGGCCATGCTCTTCCGAAACCACAAGCGCAGGTTCGTGAGAATGGGAAGAGCGAAATGTTAATTGCGTCAGATTTTGGAAAGGGAAATAAAAGAGAAATGAGGAAATGTCTAGCCCTCCTGAGTTTCATCGATTTCAGCATTCGTTTGGAAATTTCTCAGTGTCCCCGTTGAGCTCGCCGATGACAGGCGCTAAGCAATACACGATGAAGATCGGTAACAATTACCAGATGTCAACTATGCCATTAGCTGGGCTACAACCTATTGTCCTTCCAACGGCAGTGAGTTATTCAGCAATACAGGCACTATTGATTTTCATCATATTTCATCGAAAATTTGACTATTTCAGCCTGTTTGGACGGCTGCCAATTTTTCGAATTTCATGCGATCATCGATGACTCTTCCTCGTAGTGGCCCGATTATACCTCAACCATTGCACAAAGCTCCAATTGTACGTTTGATTTTCATAATTTTTCCCCAAAACAATAATCTCCTCAAAGAAGTAGAATAGTGGCGGTAGCATTTCTAGTAGCCGAAAAATCCTCGTACGAAACTTTTGAAAAACTCAAGTCGTGCATTTTGAAATTGAATTCGTGTACTTCTAGCCCTTTGTTCCCCGAGATTCGAAACATGAGAGTAAGGAATCTTCCAAATTTCCCTGGCAAAAATGGAAGCAATTTTTTATCTTACTTGAGGTGGATTTGCGTGTGAATATTTTTGATCATTTCCCATAATCGTAGCTCAATTACTATCAAGTAACTTGATAATCCAAGGGAAAACTATCCCTACGATCGCAAACATCATGAGATTTCACACGGTCTAGTTGCATATGGAATGGCTAGCGTCGTTCAACGTTCAAATTTTGTCCTCTAGTTCTAGAAAGAGCGAAAAACTCACGTTATAGTTATTGAGGGTCTTTGGAATTGCTTTTTAACCATTATGGCTCTAAGGGAGCAGAATTTCTATCAGTGACGTCTTCAAAGTGATTGCCATCTGGTTTCAGGCCTCTGCAACGAAACCTCAAATGAAACATACTGTTACCAACATTCTCGGTACGTCGAACAAGGTCAACGTTGACCCATTGAATCACCGTAACTCGTCACCATTCCAAGTTGTCAAGAAGGACAACACTCTACCGTAAGTGTTTTGTTCATAACCAGATATCGATATTGAATTCATCAACGTTATTCACCATAATTAACAAAATTCATTTGAAAGCTTGAACTCCTGTCCATAAAATGAGCTAATAATTCGGATGTCCTCAATAATTCCTCTTTTGCAACATTTTGGCTAGTGTGTGTGAAATATTTTCTCTCGAACTGAACCTTCGAAATGGACAGAGCTTGTAATTAGTGGGCGCATATGGCTGGATGGAAGGGGCTTGGCGCACTCGTCATCTTTCGGCGTCTCACCTTATTGTGAGCCCACGCTTTAATTTTCTAATATATCCACACATCCCGAACGGGATTCCTCTTCTAACATGGGATAGTTTGGTTAGACGGAAGTTTTGCTCAATGTGTAGTAGCATGTTTTCCATTGGCTCTAGTAACTAGAAGACATTGGGGTTGGAGCGTTGGACATCAGGAAGAGAAGAAAAATTACTGACCTCTGACATTAATCAATGTCAATAACTCAACAGTAACGTCCATAAAGAACCTTTTAAGGCAAACAAACATTGCGATATGGCGCTTTTGATGGGTGCGGAGGGCGCGTCTGGACCCCGTCGGAGGCGCAGATCCGAGCACTTGCGCAACGTCGTCGGCGTGATCAGAGCACATTGATGGCCGGTCACATTTTCGCGCTATAAGTGGGAACTGTTGATGGTGGGAACTGTTGAGGGATGAGAGGAGTGTTCAGGGGCCACTCAACGCCCTTGCTCACTAAAGCCGACCTCTTCCGGTACATCTGTTCTATTGTCAAAGAAGCAGAAGAGGTTCTTAAAGGCTTTCTAGTGCTGGGTTGTAGTGTAGGGGCTTGGCAAGGAGTCGAATGAAACACACTCATCAGGGAAAGTTCACTACCCTGCCCAATGCATTTAGCTCCGATTCTATTTCGATGTCAAAGTGAAGTGATGGCATCTAGACCTGAACCTACTTATGCTATCCCATTTGTTCCGTTTTATGTGAACAGAGGTCGTTTGGCACTTGGCACTTTTTGGAGTCCACTCACGGGAACTCTTTGTTGGTGGCGAAGGATGTTGAGCGATGAACTCTGACTGAGCTCTATTTCAAATAAAGTTGTTCAGAAACGAGGAGTGTTCAGAAGGAAACATGCAAAGTACCCTACTGTCACAACGGAATGAGAGAGGAATTCTGAGTTACGTCGAAATCAAAATTGATCGGAAAGAAATGTGGGACTACTATCCACAGTTTACGCTTTTGGGAGTATGATGGTCAGCAACATCGACTGGGGAAGGGTTGAGAGCTCTCTCATTCCGTACAAATTCGGTTGTTCCTTTGTTTTTTTTTCAAGAACTTCGACGAATGACTGTGCGATTCTTATAGAGCACTTCACCTGTAATTGTTTCTTTGGTGGCGACTCATTTCCTTTTTTGCAAAAAAAAACCTGAAGACGCTTTTTATCCCATAGAGAAAGCTCAACCTTTGAGCGGAGCAAAGTGTGAGGTCCACCGATGAGCTTTCCGGTCTCAGCAGCAGCGTCTTGGCGGTGTGGCTTTGATCGTAAAGTTCATAACCTTTTGCACACGTGTGGTTTCCGCCGCCATTGACTACAAGCGGCAACTTATAAAAACAAAAACTGTATGCTTCACCTTTGAACCGAATCGCCAAGTCATTGTGCTACGCGCACGTCTCATCGCGCGATCCTATCTTGAAATAATAAATTGCTGCCGCCGTCAAAAATGACAACATCGCTACAAAAGGGATACCGCCCGTACCGTGGTCACTGCTGCGCCTTCGCCATCCCTTCTGATGCCGCGTCAAAGCACCCTCGTCAATCAAAGGCACCGTGGTTACGGTAATTGGTGCTAAGATTAGTGGATGAGGGACACCGATAGCGGTCATGTCGATTAGGATTCCTTTCTATTTTCTGCAATGTCCTCCTCAAGGCTCCATCAGGGTATCTGTTTGGTGATTTCATTTGAACTCCATCAGATTCTAAAAATAGTAAGTCACCTGGATGTTGTTGTGGAGGAATTTTGTGGGACTCACGATTATACTACTGCTGTGCTTCGCGATGTTTCAGGAAAAATTGTTCATTAATTACGGCGGCTCACGTTTCATCGTTTTCGGCATGTTCGGAAACCAGGGTTCTACCGGGAAAAACTGGGTTGATCAGACAATCTGCTGCCGTCCCCAGGCGACGGTTGACCATTCAGACCAGAGCCAGTTTTTAGATGAAACAATGATTATTTCCATTCGAAAAGCCATAACAAGGGCACACAAATAACACCATCGTAAGCTGTAATGCCGAGGTCTCAACAAAATGGAAGTTGTAGTCCTGCTTCACATTTTTTAGCGAATGATATATTTGGACATTTCTAAGCAGTTCGACGTTGGAGCAAGCAACTTATTCAGGACACAATCCGCGCTAACAGGAGACCTAGTTATGCACAGATCGCGCATAGGAAATACTTTTGGCGGCAGCGAAGCCGACATATGGCGCTTTCACGACAAAACCCTAAAAACTGCTAATAACTCAGAGCAAAAATTCTGCCCTCCCGTAAAGATTAGCAGATACAGAAGAAATCTTTTTTTCGGAGATACTTGGTTCCCAGTTCAGAGCTTCCCTCATCATTCTCACCTGAACGAAGCTCTTATAGAAGGCAGTTACATTACCTTGTCCAACCTGGAGGCTCACCTTTGTTTAGACTTATGTGGCACTTCGTTGAAAATAGCACCACGAAACTTACCCTCAATAATAACAATTAAATTTTGGTGCTCATTTGTAAATAAAGTAAAAAATAAATTAATAAAATTAAAAATTATTTTTGTTATATCTATTGCTTCAGATTTTATGTAGGTGAATTTCAAATCTTAGACTCTTTTTCCTCATATTATTCAATTTCAAAAGTATCAAATTTAGAAAGCAGCCGTTTGGATCACTGCATAACATACCGAATCGCTACTGACGTCCACTATCGTTAACATCCTTCTTTCCGACCGAGGATACCGCTTGGCCATCTTCATTCAAATGATTTTCTGAATGTGCATGCATTCAACCACTTTCTTGAGCTTTATTAGGCGGTATAATCATGTTTTTCTTTCCTACAACTGACCAAATCGATCCAATGTTGTAATCTATGTGTTGTACGCGAGTTCATATCTATTCAAGGTGTAATTTTATCATTTTTGTTCGGTTTTATTCTAGTAATTATTTCGTGTGCTTTACCAAATGATTCCTTTAATGTATTTACACTTGGGTTTCGCATGACCTCTTCCATGTACGTGAATTGTCTGTTTGTTCTCGGTTTAGAGTGTTTTCATGCTTATCGATGTAAATATCGATTTATTGTTGGATTTTTTGCCGATCGATAGCGTCCTACCATACGGTAGGGCATATGTCGTCGTGTCTTTCCGCGCGTGTCGTGTTTTTTTCTTATTCTGTGTTAAATTGTGAATGTGCAAGTTTTTATAAGTTTTAGAATGAAAATAGTTACAGTAATACGGTAATAAAGATAGGGCTGTAAGAGTCTTCGAGGTAGTTTGTTTATCTATTCATCGAGGGCAGTGGTGTCATCCCAAGAAAGCACAACACATTCGAAAGAATGAAAGCCTAATGCTCAGTGAGCATCTGAGACACCTAAAAGTGAAGCATACGGCTTTATCATAAGCCTACCCCGCTTAGCTGACTCTCTGACAGAGAGAGCAAGAAAATCGTGAAGCAGAATCGAACAGATGATAGAAATGAGACATGACATAAGAAGGTAACTGCTGCTGCAAACGGAAATACTGCTCGGTTCAAAGTGTGAATAAGGCAAAGAGGGTTGATAGTCTCTCCCGGATAAGTACAGTACTAACTCATATGTGTCACTAGTAAAAAGGAAATATAACATTTACAATATAGCTATGGATTTGTTGAGGGTTACTGACAGTAAAAGATTTTGTAAAAAAAAATTCACGTCATAACTTCAATTGGCGGAAACGCAAAGCAGAAGTAACTGTCGATTCTTCTCACTAAAATTACTTCCATTAAAAAATCGTTCCCCATCGTTAACATTTATTCTGAAGATACAGAAAAACTTAGAGAAGAGGAGGCTTATCAGTGATGGTTCCATGAGTATAAACATCACAGAGCCAGATAAATATTCAGAGCAAAGGATAAAATTTACGGCTCTCAACCTATCCAATTTTGAGATAAGTCCCGAGTTCCACTTCTATTACTAATTGTATAGGCGGTTTAATGGTCTGAATGCATATGTAGCCTATGCAATGACTTGACCAAGTGTCCAAGTCAGTAGCTTTATATTCCCAAACAAGCCAACCCGTAAGGATGGCAGGCTCGCTCGGCCTGGGAGGGCACCGATCCGGGAACCCATCCCCAATCATGCCAGTAGTAGTGGGCCGTGCCCTTAGCGAGCAAAATGTTCAAAAGGAACTTTTTAAAGAAATAACCCCTGAGGATATGTCAGGTTGCAATTTCATGGATCATTTTCCCATATTTTTGCGGAAGACGCAACGGTTTGAAAGAAGTCCTATTCCTAAACATCGAGTTTATGGTGAACCAATAGGCAATATTCTCAATTTACCATT